TGATTAGTTGAGTGTTACCATAGATATTGCGTGTCTGGCATTAGGATGTTGCGGCATTACATCGTGAATTGGCAGAAGATGGGATTTACGTGTCAGTGTGACTCAACGTGGTGAATGGGTCTTCGGCGGACTTGGCTAATAACTTGAGGGATATGCAACGAAACAATCGTCCAGTGCCATATTGTTTTTACTGGTCCTCTAAATCATTTCAATTCATTATTAAATCTACCATAAAAATGTTAAGCAGTTGCTGATAGGTATAACTTTTGATATGAATTGAAACTGAACTCTAGTCACTTTTCTTCTTACAGGTTATAATAACTTTATTCACTACTGTTTTCAGTGAGTGAATTCGTAGTCTGATGAGAATAGGTGATCGGCTGTTATGATCTACTTATAAAATAACTAGACTCTGGAGTTTGATTTTCGATTTTGATAGAGAAAGAAAGACCAGATTTGAAGTATAAAATGATATCATTCTATTTCACAGGTTCTCATCAGCTGCAAACTACCTGAAATTACAATGGTTATAATTAATAACATTTCATACTTCATTGTTTGAAAGGTAATGCAGAAAGTATTATAAGATAAACGCATCCGGAATATAAGGATTAAAATTTTGTAGTTTAAGTTACCGTCAATTTATATACTATCAAACTATGAAAAAAGAAAAGGGGGGGGGTGAGAGAAGATAGAAAACAGAAAAATCTAATAAACAGTGTCAACATGGCAACTCAACAAGGTCAAAGTTCATCAGTCTGAAAACTTACTTAATGAGTTGAGCCCACTAGTGTGTATGAGTAATCAGTGTAATGAAAGTGATATGGTTACCAAGGGAGTGAGAGATTGACTACACTCTCTTTCTGTGTGCATAAGTTTGGTCTGAGACGTTTGATTGCAATCGCTTCAGCAAATCGTAGTAGATTCGCTGTCCTTTGTATGTTTAATATTTTGAAGGATTTGGAAATCTCAACAAAATGGCCTGTATCCACAAGGTGTCTGGTAATTGCACTTTGTAAATATTTGCTTCCTTTTAGGCATAAGTTTCTCGGAATATGCTCTGAAAACCGGATAGAAGTCCTTCTTTCTGTCCTTCCGATGTACTTGCTGCCGCAGGTGCACGTAAATTTATAAATGCAGTTGGAGGTAACATCAGCAGGGTATTTATCCAGTTTCGATTGGCTTATAGAGCATGTAGTACTGTATAGTGTCACTAGATTGGCTGCAGGGAAGCATCTCTTGATTGCTCCTTTCATCCTTTCTTCAATCTTTCGCGATACTGTTTCTCCTTTGTATGGGAGGCAAATGAATACTTTCTTCTTTTCAACTGTTGGATGCTTCTCTTTCTCATCTCTTTCTTTGCTGTACTTTTGAATAAATCCTTTTGGATACCCGTTCTCCTTAAGGCATTTTTCAACGAAGCTTAATTCTTCTTCTATCTTGTTGGGCGAACATAACTTCCTAGCCATAGATTGATAGTTTATAAATTGATGGTAACTTAAGCTACAATATTTTAATCCTTATATTCCGGATGCGTTTATCTTATAATGCTTTCTGCATTACCTTTCAAACAATGAAGTATGAAATGTTGTTAATTATAACCATTGTAATTTCAGGTAGCTTGCAGCTGATGAGAACCTGTGAAATAGAATTATATCATTTTATACTGCAAATCTGGTCTTTCTTTCTCTATCGAAATTTATCAAGGGAACCAAATGTATGAGATTTTCGATTTCTTGAGAAAGTAGCACTCAGGCTTAGTTTCGTGAAGGGAATTATGACACTATTTGAAATTATTATTGTATTGTTATTATTATTCCCTTGCGTACCGAGTGGAACATCACAGGGCTTCAACAACACTTCTCCACTTTGTTCCTTTTTTCTGCCATCCTTTTGAGCTGGGTCCACGATTGACCAAACTCCCTCATCTCTTCCTCACACGATTTCCTCCATGTCACCTTAGCACCAATGACCCACTCGTCTCTTCTCATTTGGATTCCACTCGAGCAACGGCCTAGCGTGCTATGTCACTTGATGGTTTCTTCAATGTACGCTCGATCCATCTCCACTTTCGCCTACATATTTATTGAGCGATTGGCTCTCACCTGTTGGTTTGTTCCCATAGTTTCTTGTTGCTTATTCTTTCTGACTGGCCAGCCAGAGAGTGGGCAGCTGTTGATGAAAGTCTACAACAAGCTGTTGGAAATCCTCTTCGGGACACGCAGTGCAAGTTTCTGACCCGTATAGAAGGACTGACCGACTTGACATTGGTGTTGAAAATTCGAATCTTGTTCCTTATGTTGAGTGCAGAGAATTTCCAAACTGGTTTCAGGTTGATGAAGGCGTGCGCATCTTCCCTTTCCGATTCTGACTGACTTTGACATCTTCGTCCGTTCCTCCTATAGTTGAAACGATGCTACCCAGATAAGTGAAATAGGTAACCTCCGTTAAATCTCTCCTGTTGATGGTGATTGGTGCTGGCTGTCGTTTCAGTTGATTGGTAATCTTCATCACCTCTGCATCACGTTCATCACCGTCATTTGAAGTAGTGGAGGTATTTTTTGTGTTGTTGAGGTTTTGTAAGCTGGATGTGAAACTTTCATCATCCTTCTGGATATCGTCTTCAACAACAACAACAACGTCAGTGTGATGTGAGATTTGAGAATTCTCTACTTTTGAAATATTTAGCTCTACTGGTAATCTTCTGTGTGTCCTCGATTGCTGCCGAAGATTTCTTCATGATTGTAGCCGCGTGTCAGCGAATACACATCATACCTTTGAAATGCTCGTTTATGATTAAGAAGTTGGAGAAGACGACTGCTTCAATAGATATGGTTTCTCCAGAGTTCATTCAATTTGTTTTATAGACTACTTTGATTTTGTATTCTTTTGCTGTTTGAGTCTTTTAATTTACAATATAATGGAGCAAAGAGACCGTGTTTGTGTGAAATCGATATATATATATATATATATTCTAAGTGGTTTCATTATACTCAACAGCTGTTTTTCCAGGGCTACTGAAGAAAGACTATACCTTATTACGCAAGATGTTAAAGGTTGTCAGCAGGGTAAGTAACGTGCCACTTAACCAGCTTGTTAATATTCTGGTTGACAGGCACATGGACTCATGTGAAAAATGGGCCAAATTCATTTTATCTAACTCACACCACCCTCTTCACTCACAACTCTCCCCTTGCATCTTATCAGGTAAAGCCAGAAGCCTATATAGAAAACTATATGCTCTCACCAGCAAGTACAAAAACTCAACCATACCCTACTTAGCTCGTGTTCTGTGCCATGATGAAAGCATTAGGTGCAATACCTATAACTTATTAAACAATCAGTAGAACTACTGGATCTCGTCTTTCCAACTCATATCATTTATAGGTACAACATTTTCTTTCTTTCTTTTCCTTTTTCCGTTATGTGCTGCTTTATTTCTTTCTCTCGCTTACTCCAGTGAATACGACAGCACCTACTTTTCTAACACCTTCAAACACTGTTTAACTTTGGCTTTGTTACCGACATGCCAATATGTTGTTGTCATAATGAACTGAGATTTCCTTAATCTATGTAGAATTCTATTTATTGATAATGTACTAACTGGATGCAATACTGTAGTAAAAATGCTGATAATTCCATTCTGTATCACAAGTACTGTTTTGGAATAAAGCAAATTATTATTATTATTATTATTATTATTATTATTATTATTATTAGATGGACTCCTCATTATAACCGGATAGTGGTGTGTGTGCCAAACGATCTTACTGAGGATATTTCTGCATGAAAGTTATTCATTTATGTAGAGAAGTGTATTTCAATCATTCTTAAGTTGTCCATTTCGCATTACTGATTGAATTGTGTCTACGAGATGTATTGCATCATAAATTAGATATAGAAGTCAACTTGTTGACAATGTCATTTATGCCTCAGGGAGCTTACTGATGACGTATAGCACTGTCCCTTTATCTGGTGTACACATATTTGGGTCTCCACAAGCATACTTTTTTATTCGGTGTTACACAAGAACTGTCCGTGATTTTAGAGAACTCCGGATCTTAGTTAAGCTGACGATGGTCTTCAGTCATCTACTACGAGATGCTTCACAACGTAGAGGTCAAAAGACTACATATGTGTATAAAAATGTCATAGGCTTCATCAGGGATAGCTGTAAGTTGGACATTCATTTATACACAGAAAGCTCTAGACAGTTACTCTCCTCCTCCGGTTTGAGATTCTTCAAAGAGTGGGTGAATGGTCATCAGACTCGCCTCATAACTTGGATGTCCCAGGTTTGAGCCCTGACGGGGTGGTCCATTCAAAATTATGAACAGTCTCGAACGGAAACGGAACATCAGTTTTGGTGCTCCTCGTCTTGCTTCCTGCGATGGATGAGCATCCACTTAACCTTTACAAGCTGGATTCCACCGGCTACACTTCCTTCACAGTATGCATTCAGTAGATGCTGAACACGTACGTTCCAACCCAAGTGACTGAATGTAAAATGAGTTTAGCCTTGTGACGTGAAAATCCTGGTTTTCGATTCCTGGTGGGCATGAACTGTGAGGACTTCCAAACAAGGACGAAGCAGCTATTGAGTACTCTCTCTGGTTTCCAGCGATTCTCTAACCGATGTTGGTTCCTGATGAATTCTACAGTAAAATTTAGTCAAAATTCTTCACCAATCCAGAATTTCTTTTGACTTGGTTGGGTTCACTGAGCTGGCTGGTTTAGCTCCTAGGTTTTCAGCATCCTTCTGGACAATATCTGCAGCACAAGTTTTAGTGTGAAATACACTGAAGATGTTGTCTAGAAGCTTCTCAGTTAAATCAGCCAGCCCCAGAGAACCCAACTAAATCAAAATCATCCACCAGAGCTACAAATCTTCTCTATTATTTCAAAATCCAGAATTTTACCAGTTTTATCTCTCTCAGTAATCTTTCGAAATTTCAAAAGCTCCATTTTAGTATTCTATGATATTTTCTCATCCATTTTAGGTCACCTTTCTGGGTTTATGGAATAGAGAATCAGCTGAATTTCGACAGTCGTTGAATGCAATCCGTAAAGAGCCTGTAGCACATCTGTGTAATAAAAATCAAGCCAGTCTTTCGGTTGCTGTTCAACCACAAGCTATCCAGTATAATCATCCAGGAAGAACGTTGAAAATTTTGCGTTCAGCTCCATCGGAGTTGTCAGATTCACCGAATTATGAAAATGCTGATAGTAGGATGAATTTGCACGATAATGGCAATAATAATAATTTGTATAAACCGGCGAAGTCAAATAAGAAGCACCCAACTGCTTCAGTGTCTAACCATGATGCCCGGAGTAATTCTCAAGGCAATGTCAATAGTCCCTACCATCGTCAACCTAAAACGCTGATTACACAGAGTCCTTATGATGATGACAGTAATAATGATATTGATGAGGACAGCGATAGTTTTCATAAACCAGGTCGCCTTACCTACCAAAATGCTTCATATAGAACAAATCTGGAGAGAAATACACACTCGAAAACGTCAAATGACGCACAGAACACCTATCTCAAAGAAATCAATCAACTACAAAGACAAAATTCACGTAAAGTTAAACGTCGTGAACGTAAAAGAAAACGAAAAGTAGAACAGGGTAAAAGGGTCAATGAACCTGCCTCACAAAATCAATATGGCATCAACTCATACTCACATCAGTTACCGATAAATCCTTATGCCGACTGAAATATAAGTATTGACGTACTGAATGAAGGGATACCCTAAAGGTATATTTTCACAGATAATAAAGAAGAATATTGAAATGATAAATATACAGGGTGCTTATTGAGTGAAGTATATGCGAACCCTCACACGTTTATATTATTCTGTAAAACTCATATATACATACGTATACATATATATTAGGGTTACTGTTTATTTTCACGCATTATTGATGTCGTCATTATTACTGTTTTTGTTGTTTTTATTGTTTGATTATATCGATTTATTGATCAGTCAATCATCTAAGTCCAGTTGTTTTGTACACACGCACATATGTCCACATGTACACTTACGTATACTATAATTTTAATCGCACATTTATTCATATACATATATATCTCAGTGAATTCAGTTTATGTGGACACAAATGTCGCTTAGAAATTTATACTACTTATTAAGAGATATAAGTAGGTAGTAATTATATGGGGAAAAATAATCCGCCTGATAACTTCATTAATAATTTATACGTATGTCTACCTCATTAAAACAATTAAACATTATCATTATTTGGTTTCATTATATATTTTTTCTTTAGGTGTTCACTCGTTACAAGTCATATCATTGTAAATTATATCACATAACTACTTAATGAAGAATAATGATTCTTTTTGTCTGTCTGTGTCTTTGTTTTTTTCTTACTTAAGGAATTTAGATTATGAGTATTTTTCGTAAGGATTTCGATTAGTTTTATTGTGGATTTTGTCATGAAACTAGGGTTCACTTTACAGGGTTTTCACCTCAACTTTGGATGACTTTAGCAGTGAGTACCTAAGAATCTATTAGGAATCAAATTTGTGACCTTCGGGTTACGAGGCCAAGTCTGGTGATGAAACTGCCACTTAAATGGGAAATTAATGATCCAGTAGCTACTGAACTGACGCTGTGAAGTTGTACTGAGAAGCTGTAACAATGGAGTCCACTGCAGCAAAGCGAATTGGATGTTGACTTATGGCATTTGTTGTAGTTAGAGTTATATCTGATTGACTGGTTTTAGTGTAGAACTGCGCACCGACGTGCAACAGAAATGCAAAACACAGACAGTAAGCAAAGATATGGGGCAGAAAGAATAGTGATATGGAAGAACAATATGGTTTTATTGGATATTATAAGTCACGAGGAATGGATGCATCTGCGCTGTCACTGAGAACGATTTTGAACCATATCCCGATTGTATCCAGTCAATGGTTCTTACTTACCATCCCGAAGACCCCAACCATACAGCAGTCTACACCTTCCTACATGGCTTAAACTAACTGATTGACTGGTGAAGCCATTTCTGGTTTGACCACCACTGGCTTTTTTCCAACTTGATTCATCTTATGTCAGCTAACATTGCCCGTCGAGGAACTGGGAAGTACAAAACTTTATGATTATGAATATCATATACCCAATGCCCAAACTTTTTCAAACTGTTAAAAGTGAGCTTGTTCTGGACGTATATGAACTCCATATCTCTTATATTGAATAAATTCATCTGATATAACAAACAGTGACAAAGTGTCAATAAATGAATAACACTTCGGGTACAGTTTACCACTCACATTCGTGCCAATGCATTTTCATGACATCCTATCTAAAGCAAGTTAAAAATTCATCTGAATACATTGATGTGGTTATGAACATTCAGCTGCTTACAGTTTCTAAGAAGCTATACAGTCAATGTGCTCAAACTCAATCTTTACATTCCTTATCGAGAAACTCTGATATTAAAATCAATCGTTTATGGGCTTATCCATCGAAGCTACAACTCATTAGACATGATTTGAAACATTTACTGATATTTTTAAGGGTTTATTTTTAGGGAGTTGATCTGTTTTGAAGTTTGATCATGCATTCATATCATTTAGAGAATCACTGCAATACGAGGAGTACTGGATAGCTGTTTCGTTCTGGTTTAGGACTCTTCAGTAACTTACTGATATAATTAGCCTACGTTTTATGTGGTATCTGATTCTATAGCACCTGAATGCTTTTCAGTTGTTCAGGTATTGGTTTGTAGGGAATTGATTGATTGGCTACAGGATTTCATCATGAGTTGATATTGGTTAAAGAACCATGGGAAAACCTTGGAGTACAGGGCGGTTAGCTGTTTCTTCCTAGTTTGTGACTCTTTTTCAGTAAGCACCCATCGTTTTGAAACAGCTATATATATACATATATGTAATTGGCAGTTAACACATATATACATAAACGATTGTATTATCTAGAATTTGTGAGGTTATATTGGTGTTAACTGATGCAATAATCAATTGGTCAACTAGACTGACATACGGATGAATATTAAGAAAGTGGATAGAGTTACTGATTGCCTGACTGTATGACTATACAGTGTTCAACTTTGGTAAGCGGAAAAAAGCAACTCTAAAGAATAGCAGCCCAAACCAAAACGATCTAGCGAACGGACAAACGACCTTGAGCAACCAATCAGGTGACTCTGTTTTTTCCAGAGGTAATCATGGATGCTCTATACCTTTTGCGTTGCAAATTAGCTCCAGATCTTGTTTTTCATTACTGTTTGGAGAACGGACTGATAGGAATGTCGAAAAATTGCCAATGTGGAGGTGTCATTCATATGCAAAGATACAATAGGTGCATCGATGGGTTTGTTTGTTGGTGAAATGAGTGCCGAACCAGAAAATCAGTTCGAGAACGTATGTCGTTCGTTTTTAATTTACAGATTCCTTAGGTACTTTTGATAAAAAGAAAATATAATCGAGGGAGATTGAGTGTGAATCAGCAATAGGTATTGGGGATATATGACACCAGCCTGCAGAAAGGATATTTTGGGGAGATCCCTAATCGCAGTGCAGGTGTATTATTGCCTATTATCCAGCGCTTAGTGCTACCTGGGACGACTGTACATACAAATGAATGGAGTAGTTACAGTCAGTTATCGAATCTGGGCTATATTCATCAAGTGGTCAACCACAAAAATGGTTTTCTCAATCCTTTTGATGGAACTCACACTAATTCCATCGAAAGTTTCTGGAGTCATAAAAAACGTATCAGATCTGTGAATGGATCAAGAAATGCAATGATTTACAGTTATCTCGATGAGTTTATCTACAGGACTTGGTTTAACATGAGTATCAAGACTCCTATGAGAAATTGGCAGGTATTTTGCAACATATACGAGAACATTGTCTTTTGTAACTAATTTTTAACATTGCATTACTTTCATATAAACGATTTATTTCAATTATGCACCGTCTTTTTAGCCTTCTGATTGGTCGAAGTTGTACATGTCAAGGTCATTTGTACGCTCTCTAGCACGTTTTGGTTTGGGCTGCTATTCTTTAGAGTTGCCCGGAAAAGCAGTTAGCTGACTAACAGACAAGTGACTTGAAAAAGAAATCCTCTGAAAGATAACTCCATTACGGATTAGATTTTAATCTGATAAATCACAGAGCGGTATACAGTAATATTTTAACTGATGACGTTTCGAGAACAAGCTATCGCTTATAATCATATCGAGGTGATATAATGGAGTTATACTCGACCAAAGTGCCCAAGTTTTATACTTATATCAATAATACCCTGAAAGATGTTCTAGATAATACATGCGTATTTCATACAGAGGTCTAGAACTACAGATTGGGTTCAGGCTGTATTACTGACAATATGTTAAATGTAAGTTTATGCGTAAGGAAGCTATTGAGTGAATGAAATTCATGTTACGCATGCCTACTCATCGATGTAACCGAACCAGCTCACTTTGAGAGTGAGCATCAACTTGTTTCCTTGTGAACTTTACTCCGAGTATAAATAAGACCGTTTGGTGATTGAATAAACAATCACTTGATTTATATTCTTGACTCTGCTGAAATCCAATTTAACTGATATGCAATGTTCAATCATTCAAGAATTTATCCTTTTCACTTCTAAAGGTTCCAGTTGAACTGGTGAAGAAGTCGAAATGCACATTCTTGACTCCACTGCTCTTAGACATCAGTCCAAACGAAATCCAGCAGGGACTACTGGATAACTGTATCTCGCTACTTATGCACCTTTTAGAATTATGTAACCATAATTCCATCAGGAGGAGGACCCAAGACCTTCAGATTACAAAGCAAGCCTACAGACCACTCAGTCACTGGGAAGGAATCCAATGGCTCATCGGCAAGTTTCTGTCCTCACACCTAACCTCGAGGAACCAACTTGTTACGTATTCTCACGAAAGAAAAAAGGCAACTTCTTCGTGTAGTCAGTCACTGACGTGCATCATTTTCATCTTCAAACATTCTCAAAGCGCCTGTACGAGGAGCTTACAAGTCGAAAGGGACTAAGCATTTCAGTGTAATGAGAAATGAAAATATCCTTCAAAATAGTAATTTTGAAAACATTTTGCTTTAAACGTCTAACTACTCATGAGTAGACTGAATATCTGTATGCAAAATCGCAGGAAACACTAGACGCAGTAAATCTTTTATTGATGCACCAAACAACTGGGAGGCAGAGCGAAAAATCGATTTACTTCAGCAAAATAGTTAGCTGCTTTACAGCATACCTTTCTGATGATTGACTGAATGTAAGTGGAATAGGTGCAGCTACCTGAGTGCTAGTTTACTTTGGAATGAAAGACCACATACACACAAATGTTTTAACTAGAAATAGCTTTGTTCACAAATCAATCACACAGTTGATTCTTTGAAAGTGAGTGCTACATGAATGAGTGAAGGATGACAGTTTAAATCTCAAAAATGTTGAGTATCATGATTATTAAGTGTCTATTGTGGTGTATATTTATGTGTAGTTGCAAAAATCACTGTTGGATGTACTGTAATAATAATAATAATAATAATAATAATAATAATAATAATAATAATAATATCGGCCTATTATGTTCTTTTTTGATAACACCTTGATTCCACACTGTATTTTCTGGTACAGGTATGGAATTTTCAGCATGTGATATCGGTAGCCCAAATTTTGCAGGCCGACCATATATATCAGGTTTGCGTCGGCAGGAGATCGAACCCCGGACCATGTGCATGATCGACGAGAGTCATAACCACTGTGCCACCGACGTGCTAATCAGATTGCAACTCAATGCACCGTCATCACAGAACAAAGCATGGAAAGCATGGTCGAGGTTTGACCTCCACCTCACTCTCATCCACTTCGAAAAGGCCTTCAACAGTTCAGCGTTGACTGATAAGTAGTACAGTGCTCAAGTCTTTATCAACCTCATTCAACAACTGGCTATATGACACTGCCACGTGTCAGGTAATCCACAATGAAAAACTCAGCAAGACGTTCGATGGGCATACAGGAGTAAGACAAGGCTGCCTGCCTATTATCACTGATGATATTCTTTATTGTGGTGGACTGAATTCGGCG